TCGTGAGCGATCTTGCGCTATCTTGAGCCATCTTGGAGCTCATCTTGGGTTCTCTGAGGCGCTCTTGGAGCCGTCTTGGGCCATCTTGGACGCTCTAACTACCCGCGGCCCCCCCCGTCCAGGTCCAGGGGAGGGGGTAGGGGGAGGGGTAAACCCCTCCCCAAGGGGGAAGAGGGAGGGGTGGAAGAGGATCTGCTCTAGACCACCTACGCCCAGAGGGCTGGTGGGATTCTAAAGAATAATTATTGTTGGGACCCCTGGTGCACGGCCCCCCCGCCGCGCCTAGGCCGCAGCTACATTTTCATCATTTCTTCGCGAAAGCTTCAGAAAAGTGGATGGGGTCCAGATCCGGTTGTTTTGTTGTAATCCGTTTTCCCTTGCAAAAAACACTATAAAATGACATTTCTTGTTCTAATATAATCAAATTTCAAGAATCCCTTGCAAAAAATAAGGTAAAGTGGACATTCGCGCGCGCAAGACGAAATCCTTCCAAAAGCTTAGTGTTCGGAGCGATTTTAACATAAAAACATCAAAAAACCAATGGTTTTTCAACAAAAAAATGTCAAAATCTCATCCCGCGCGCTCTTGCGGATTCGTAGGAAACCCAACACTTTTTAAACATTTCTGTCAAACGGGCTTTTGCGAGCAACTTTTTCGAACTTCTGCGACAACGGTTGCGCACCTGCCAGGGCCATCATCCCTGTCAAATAATACCATGCGGGACATATTCGTTTTTTCTTCGCGCACAACCATCGGGACAATCATCGGGGCAGTCATCGGGACAACGATCGGGACAAGCACAACCATCAGGACAACCATCGGGACAATCATCGGGACAACGATCGGGACAACCACAACCATCAGGACAACCATCGGGACAACCATCGAGACAACCATCGGGACAACCATATCCTCTCTCTCTTGTGTATTCCCACATCCCTCAGGAATTTGCCCTAAAGATGTGATCAACTATCTTGTGAGTACGTATCATGTGTATCATGTGTATCATGTACCATATGCATCATATGCAACAGATGTTCTGTGGAAGGCTTCACAACTTCTGTGGGTTAACAAGGCTTAACAACTTCTGTGGGTGTACGAACGTAGGCTTAACAACTTCTGTGGGTGTGTACTCCACGCCAGTGTAGTAGCCACGGTCGTCCGCAGGCCACGAAGTGAAGTGTCCGAACGTCATAGGGCGGGAAGCTGGGTGTGGGTGGTGGCGAAGAGTCGTGTGGATATTTGGTAGAGCTTGCACTGCCCCCCCACAAAGTGGGGGTATTGGCTGGCGTCGCATGAAAACCCTGGCACTGGTGAGAACACTGAGCGTTCGGGTAAAGTGATTGTTGTTGTTGTTGTTGTTGTTGTTGTTGTTGTTGTTGTTGTTGTTGTTGTTGTTGTTGTTGTGTTTATTGTTGTTGTTACTGCTGGTGCTGCTGGAGTTGTTGCGTTGTTGTTGTTGCAGAAACGATATTGGTTTCGACTGTGGGGCCCAGCCCCCGACACCCCCTGGGCTCCCCCCCTCCCCTGGCTCTTGGGGGTTCTCGGGAAGATCCAGGGGAGTTCCAGGAAACTCCCACACCGATCTTCGTCGCCGCCGCCGCCGCCGCCGCCGTCACGTCATCGTCTTCTCAGTCGCCCTCGTGGCGTCGTCTTCGTCGTCGCTGCCGCCGCAGCCTCCGCCGTCGTGCTCGTGGGCACCTGACGACGAGGAGAAGGGACATCGAAATTGAGGAGGAGGAGGAGGAGGAGGTGCAAGCTATGTTGTGCGGGCTACGTGGTGCAAACTCTGTGGTCCAATCTGTGTGGTGCAAGCTGTGTAGTGCGTGCTGTGCGGGCGCCCATAGGCGGCCACGGACGGGCACCAGGCGTACCCACGTGCGGCCACCAACCTGGCACCAGGCGGAACCTTGTCGCACCCATTCGATTTCACATTCATCATGCCAAGCAAAGGCTCCCAATTGCAGGACCTGCGTGGGCAATGGGAATACGGATGTCCAGCTGCCTGCGGCACATCCCGCCACCGTGCCGGCGAAGCAACTCGGCAGCAAGGAGGCCGATCTGAATATCCGCTTCGGTTCAGAGCTCTGTTGCGCGGGTCTTGAACATGCAATCGAAACTGATTTCCCACGGGTTGGCGATCCGTTTATTTACCCCCCCCAACCTTCAAGACACCCTTGCGATGAGACCACGGGAAGTTTGAATCGCTGTGGCAGACGTCGCCCCCAGTGGGGCATGTTTGTCTGCATCCCTTCTCAAGGGAGGGATCAGAGGAGGTCCCGGAGGCCTCTGGAGCAGGGCTTTGACACGAAAACCAGAATCTTCGATCCTCCTCGTTCGATCCTCGGTCCTTGGAGGGCTGCTGGCAGGTCGGGCGCAGCCGGCCGCAGCTGTCCACCCTCCTGCCCGGCTTCCTGGTGGCTAACTTGTGCTTGGGAAGTTGCAGCAACTGCGCGCTGCGGGCCGACCAGCTCAACGCTCGCCTGCAGCAGGCCTTCGGGCGGTCCCAAGCACCGCGCGCTGCCCACGTCGGTCGCTTGCTTGTCATGTTTTTGTTGGGTCCTGGGGCGCCGTCGTCGCCACGGCCAGAATCCCCCGGGATTTATGGTCCAGACGCACCCCTGCAGAGGTCCAGGGGTCAAGGATCCGCCATCGCGGCCTCATTGATTGGAGTGTTGTGATGACTATGACCTAACAGCTTTTGCTGATAGGCTTCTAGTGGGATCAAGAGAGAGCATCTTGACGCCCCAGGGGGGTCTGGGCGGGATCCGGACAGACCCGCACAGATCCGGCAGCCCCCGGAATCCTTAGGAATTCTTTACGCTTCGCGTATCCCCACCAGCCCATCTCACAGCAGCAACTCTTGCGAAGCATGCCGACAGTCGTGTTTTTCAGGCGTGTGTCCGCTTGGCCCCGCATATCTCCCCTGTTCCTCCTTCCTCCCGCCTCCTTGTACATCCTCCTTGTGGGGGGAGCGGGAGAAGGACGAGGCGGAGGAGGAGGGAGAGAAAGCGCTCCTCGTGATTTGAGTCGTTTGGGGTTTCTCGTCCTGGTGTGAGTCGTTCGGGCCCTTCTTCCTGGTGTGAGTCGTTCGGGCTCTTCGTGGTGTGAGTCGTTCGGGCTCTTCGTCCTGGTGTGAGTCGTTCGGGCTTCTCGTGGTGTGAGTTGTTCGGGCCCCTCATCCTGGTGTGAGTCGTTCGGGCCCCTCCTCCTGGTGTGACTCGTTCGGGCTCCTCGTGGTGTGAGTCGTTGGGGCCCGCGTCGTGGTGTGAGTCGTTCGGGCTCCTCGTGGTGTGAGTCGTTCGGGCGCCTCGTCCTGGTGTGAGTCGTTCGGGCCCCTCCTTGTGGTGTGAGTCGTTCGGGCTCTTCGTGGTGTGAGTCGTTCGGGCCCCTCGTCCTGGTGTGAGTCGTTCGGGCTCCTCGTGGGGCCTCTTGGGGGCCTCTTGGAGCCTCTTGGGGCCTCTTGGGGGCCTCTTGGGGGCCTCTTGGGGGCCTCTTGGGGGCCTCTTGGGGCCTCTTGGGGCCTCTTGGGGGCCTCTTGGGGGCCTCTTGGGGGCCTCTTGGGGCGTCTTGGGGGCCTCTTGGGGGCCTCTTGGAGGCCTCTTGGGAGGCTCCGGGGGGCCTCTGGGGGCCAAGATGGGGCCTCTTGCGACCTCCTCAGAAGCGGAAATGAGCGCTGCCCCCTGAGAAGGAGAAAATGTCGCCAAAACCTTTCTGTAAAATCAATAATTTTCCTAAGAAGGACGATGAGCGCGGCCCCCTCAGAAGGCCAAAAAAGGGCCGAAACCGTAGTAAAATCAATGTTTTTGGCTTCAAAGACGAGTTGATGCGCCAAACGGTCTCCCCCCCTCGGGACCAGACTCCTCGTGAGGGTCGTCGTTTTTTGGCTCTCCGAGGAGTCGAAAAAGACACCCTTGACACCACTCCGCCCGCCCTCTCCAGGTCCAGGGGAGGGGGTAGGGGGAGGGGTAAACCCCTCCCCGAAGGGGAAGGAAGGGGGGTTGAGGACAGAGCGGGCTCTCTAAACCACTCACGCCCAAAGGGCTGGTGGGATTTTTCGGAATCTATTCCCAGAGTACCATTCCCAGGCCACATTTTGAATGCCCGGAGCCAACTGTAGGCCACTTCGTGTTTTTTTCGTGTTCCCACAACACCAATCCCAGGCAACATTTTGAATGCCCGGAGCCAATTGTAGGCCACTTCGTTTTCTTCGTCTCCCCAGAACAGCACTCCCAGGCCACATTTTGAATGCCTGGAGCCAACTGTAGGCCACTTCGTGTTCTTCGTCTTCCCATAACACCACTACCAGGTCACATTTTGAATGCCCGGAGCCAACTGTAGGCCACTTCGTGTTCTTCGTGTTCCCAGAACACGAGGCCACATTTTGAATGCCCAGAGCCAACTGTAGGCCATTTCGTTTTCTTCGTGTTCCCCGAACACCATTCCTGTACCATTTTGAATGCCCGAGCAGAGGCAGGCTGAGGCCGAGACAGGCTGAGGCCGAGGCAGGCTGAGGCTGAGGCTGAGGCACGCCGAGGCAGGCTGAGGCTGAGGCTGAGGCTGAGGCAGGCTGAGGCTGAGGCAAGCTGAGGCTGAGGCCGACGCAGGCTGATGCCGAGGCAGGCTGAAGTTGAGGCTGAGGCAGGCTGAGGCTGAGGCTGATGCAGGCTGAGGCTGAGGCAGGCTGAGGCTGAGGCTTAGGTTGAGACTGAGGCTGATGCAGGCTGAGGCTGACAGGCTGACGCTGAGGCTGAGGCAGGCTGAGGCTGAGGCTGAGGCCGAGGCAGGCTGAGGCTGAGGCTGAGGCAGGCCGAGGCAGGCTGAGGCTGAGGCTGAAACTGAGGCAGGCTGAGGCTGGGGCTGTGGCTGAGGCTGAGGCAAGCTGCGGCTGAGGCAGGTTGAGGCTGAGGCTGATGCAGGCTGAGGCTGAGGCAGGCTGAGGCTGAGGCTGAGGCAGGCTAAGGCTGAGGCTGAGGCCGAGGCAGGCTGAGGCTGAGGCCGAGGCAAGCCGAGGCAGGCTGAGGCTGAGGCTGAGGCTGAGGCCAATGCTGAGGCAGGCTGAGGCTGAGACAGGTTGAGGCTGAGGCAGGCTGAGGCTGAGGCAGGCTGAGGCTGATGCCGAGGCAGGCTCAGGAGGCTGAGGCAGGCTGAGGCTGGGGCAGGCTGAGACTGAGGCTGAGGCTGAGGCAGGCTGAGGCTGAGGCTGAGGCTGAGGCAAGCCGGGGCAGGCTGAGGCAAAGGCTGAAGCTGAGGCAGACTGAGGCTGAGGCTGAGGCAGTGGCTGAGGCAGCGGCAAGCTGCGGCTGAGGCAGGCTGAGGCTGAGGCTGATGCAGGCTGAGGCTGAGGCAGGCTGAGGCTGAGGCTGAGGCAGGCTGAGGCTGAGGCTGAGGCTGAGGCTGAAGCAGGCTGAGGCTGAGAGGCTGACGCCGAGGCTGAGGCAGGCTGAGGCTTAGGCTGAGGCCGAGGCAGGCTGAGGCTGAGGCTGAGGCTGAGGCTGAGGCCGAGGCAGGCTGAGGCTGAGGCTGAAGCTGAGGCAGGCTGAGGCTGTGGCTGAGACTGAGGCAAGCAGCGGCTGAGGCAGGCTGAGGCTGAAGCTGATGCAGGCTGAGGCTGAGGCAGGCTGAGGCTGAGGCTGAGACAGGCTGAGGCTGAGGCTGAGGCCGAAGCAGGCTGAGGCTGAGGCCGAGGCACGCCGAGGCAGGCTGAGGCTGAGGCTTAGGCTGATGAGGCAGGCTGAGGCTGAGACAGGCTGAGGCTGAGGCTGATGCAGGCTGAGGCTGAGGCAGGCTGATGCTGAGGCTGAGGCTGAGGCCGAGGCCGAGGCCGAGGCCGAGGCAGGCTGAGGCTGAGGCTGAGGCAAGCCGAGGCAGGCTGAGGCTTAGGCTGAGGCTGATGAGGCAGGCTGAGGCTGAGGCAGGCTGAGGCCGAGGCTGAGCCAGGCTGAGGCTGAGGCAGGCTGAGGCTGAGGCCGGGGCAGGCTCACGGGGCTGAGGCAGGCTGAGGCTGAGGCAGGCTGAGACTGAGGCTGATGCAGGCTGAGGCTGAGGCTGAGGCCGAGGCAGGCTGAGACTAAGGCTGAGGCAAGCCGAGGCAGGCTGAGGCTGCGGCTGAAGCTGAGGCAGGCTGAGGCTGCTGAGGCAGTGGCTGAGGCTGAGGCTGAGGCTGAGGCTGAGGCAGGCTGAGGCTGAGGCTGATCAAGGCTGAGGCTGAGGCAGGCTGAGGCTGAGGCTGAGGCAGGCTGAGGAGGAGGCTGAGGCTGATGCAGGCTCAGGCTGAGGCAGGCTGAGGCTGAGGCTGAGGCTGAGGCAGGCTGTTGCTGAGGCTAAGGCCGAGGCAGGCTGAGGCTGAGGATGAGGCAAACCGAGGCAGGCTGAGGCTGAGGCTGAAGCTGAGGCAGGCTGAGTCTGTGGCTGTGGCTGTGGCTGAGGCTGAGGCAAGCTGCGGCTGAGGCAGGCTGAGGCTGAGGCTGATGCAGGCTGAGGCTGGGGCAGGCTGAGGCTGAGGCTGAGGCTGAGGCTGAGGCTGAGGCTGAGGCCGGGGTAGGCTGAGGCTGAGGCTGGGGCAAGCCGAGGCAGGCTGAGGCTGAGGCTGAGGCTGAGGCAGGTTGAGGCTGAGGCTGAGACAGGCTGAGGCTGAGGCTGAGGCAAGCTGAGGCTGAGGCTGAGGCTGAGGCTGATGAGGCTGAGGCTGAGGATTCCTAAGGATTCCTAAGGATGCCTAAGGATGCCTAAGGATGCCTTATGAATCCCTAGGAATCCTTAGGACCTCAGGATTCCATTGGAGTCTGAGGCCGTTGCCACTGCGACTGTCGTTGCGAATGCTTCTGCGACTGCGAGAACAGCAGCATTCTACAACTGGATTCTCACCTGCATCTTAAGGGGAATGCTTCCATATATGCTTATACATGTCGCTGTTAGGTTGCTTTGCCGGGATAATTAAGTTTTTTTCAAAGAAGGGGTGTTGCTGCTCACGGTTGGGCCTCGTAACGGGATTTCTAACAAGTTGGCCGCGAAGTTAGAGAGAAGTTTGGCTCGGTGTTGAAATTTTCCCCAGGGGGTTCGCCCGCCAGCCGCCGGCCCCCTCTCTCGGACAATGGGCAGTGCAAGAGCGAAATCATGAGGCCCTGGCGCCGCCGAGAAGCAACGTCAGGACTTCGCGCGAAGATGATGAGTAATCAGCAAGACGCATGAACTTTAGATTCTGATGATATTGTTGAATTCGGCGTTGTACTTCGAGGGGTTATGGCTTCGGATGCGCGAATCGCGCGTCATTTACGTGGGCGTATGGCTTCGGGCTCGCAAATACAGCGTAACGTGCGCAGGTTTATGGCTTCGGAGGCGCGAGTATTGCGCAATGTGCGAGGGTGCATGGCTTCGGACACGCGACTATTCAGTAATTTACCAGGGTGTATGGGTCCGGGGTCGCAAATATTGCGTCATTTACGCAGCGTTATGGCCTCGGAGACGCGACTGCCGCATACTTTGCAAAAGGTTTATGGC